CATTGAAGACGGATATCAAAGTTCTGAACTTTTCCATTGATTCGCATCAATACAATTGGTATTATTCATTCTTGTTTATTAATCAAGCTTTATTATTCCTTAATCAGAATTCATGTTTATATCTATTATGCTTTTGGAATTCATTATTGCTTTGATTATGAATATGTGTGAGTAGTCTCCTAGCTAGGGTTTCGGGATGAAACCCGGCCTAGGTAATCTATGTAATTGAGGATTGATTTTGATAAACGGATTGTGATTAAATTGATTATATGCAATTGCATGTTAATTCATTATAATAGGAGTAGCTAACCTAGAATCTTGAATTTGATTGCATGATATCCTTGATTTGAACAAGAGATTGTGAATTGAGTATTTCATTATTGAATGTGGTTTGATTATGTATCGAGTAATGTTAAGTGCATGAGAAATCCAAGCTTAGTATTGTCCGTTGTCTTCCTATCACATGATATTGATCAGACATATAGTCTTTGCATATCCCGTCTGTCTCTGTGATTCCTTGTTGCGTAGTTACCGATGGTTTGGTGAATTCCCGTTCTCCCTAGTGTCTTAGTTTATTGATTTATTCCATCTTATTAGTAGTATTTTAGAACACCATTTTCCATTGATTTCGAACTAGCTTAGGTTTAAGATTGATTTGCAATTACTCTCGTTCCTCGTGGACCGAACCTTTATTTGCCATTGTACTTGGTTATAGGGTGTTCGTATAAGTATTGTTTGATTGAGAGTTAGATTGTAGCGACCGAGATAACCCTTGTCAGACTTACATGAGCAAATGGCTCACGAGTCGCTCCTAACTTGGTCTTCGCCTGAGCTGGATCACCAAATACGTTCCAGATGTGCAGGGTCTCGTCCCCTGCAGAGGCTACTGCCAAGCCATCAGGGCTCTGTAACATGCATTCCAGAAAATCAGTAAAATACAAATAATGAGGTTACTTGAGAAATAGAAGCTGCAGTTCTCAATAAACCAAGAAAATTACCTGAGACATGTAAAGTACTCTGGACGTATGCCCAGTAAACTGCTCTGCCATCTGCACCAATGATGGGTAATTCCACAACACTAAACTGTTATTGGGAAGCACGTGTGAGCTCAGCAGCTCGCGCTCATTATTGCTCCATATTAAAGCTGAAACCTGGGATCCAGTGTTTACTGAGTTCAAGCATGCACCAGTATTAATGTTCCATAATTTTATGCATTGATCATTCATTCCTCCTCCAGAAGCCAGCATACTACTCTGAAAGGGACACCAAGCAAGGGCTTTGACTGCAGCAGTGTGGTTTTGAATCCTGTGCAGCCACTGAGTAGATGAATTTATTCTGGCCATTGACCGGTCCCAGATATGCACAAGGTTGTCGTTGCCTCCGCTGGCTAGATATTGGCTGATGGTGACCATTTTAACCCACAAACTTCACGCCGGTGTCCTCTGTAAGTTTCAACTATATGACTCCTAACTCTCAGGTCATTGTTGTTGATTCTACTGTCTGCTGATCCAGTAGTGAGGATTTTACTATTCCAAGCCAGTGAACAGATACAAGCTTGGTGACCTTCCCTTAATGTTCTCAGCTGCAAGAATGACGCGATAACAGTAAGAAATCAAGCCAAACATAAGACATATAAAGCAGATGAGAAACAAAATTACCTTTTTACCGGAAACAGCATCCCAGACTTGAACTTCAGAATTGTCCAAGCCAATGGCAATCAGACAGCCAAGTGCCCAACTCACAGTCGTTATTGTGCCTTCATCGTCAGATACAGTCACAAGCTCGCGTGCAGTATTTGTGGATGCATCCCACAGGTAAACTGTGTTTTTAAGAGCGATGGCAAGCACATTGTTCTTACCCCAGTCCAATAAATTCAAGTAGTAGTCATCTATTAAGCCAGGGCATTCTAATGTACGTTCTGAAGTCTGTAGAATTACAATTGCGAACAAGAAACGATCAAAATGGTGCAGGACACACTAACAAAGTAACAATACAGTCACATAGTCGTAAAATAAGATATATTATTCAGTGAACTCTTCAAATTAACGCTGTCATATATTCATAAGTCGAAAACATACTACGTATTATGTAACGTTTTTTGCTTAAGAATATCGGAAAATTGTTGCCAATACGTGCAAATTTATCATACATTAAAAGCAAAAACTTGTACAAACAAAACGATACAAAAGCAAAAACTTGCAAAATAAACTAACTTGTATGATTCACATCATACTTAAAACAATATAATTAAGTACCAATTTAAACCATAGATTGAAACAGATTGATAATCAAAGAGAAAAGTCTATATACCTGAGGAACACTGCGAAATCGCCTTCGAAGAGACACAACGTCCAAGTCAGAGGTGTTTAGGGGAAGTGGGGCAGGTGGTTTGTTACTGAAAGCAAGAATTCTAGGCCTGTTCATCCCAAATACCTTCTTCAAACGCTTCCGATACGCTTTCTTTGACGGAGAATACGGTGATTTCTCCATCTCCCTCTTCTTCTCCTTCCACCCTTCTGTCAGCATGTGGTGCGCATAATCGAAATCCATAGCTGATCTGTTTGGAATGAATCGATCCAACTCCAACTGATTTTTTCAAATCATTCACAAAACCCCCAAAAAAAATACACAAATTATCAATAGCTGTTAACCTAATTTCCGACAAAAATTCAAATTAAGAAAGAGGGGATTTTGATTCTTACATTTTATTTACTTCGATTTTGAGTCAAATTGTAGCGAAAGTGAATTGACATGGTGTAAAATCGATTGAATTGCAAAATTGCCAAATTCCGACGAATTCAACAAATCCCTGAAATTCAAATCAAAACAAAACAACACAACAAACAACAGAAACAACAGCAACAGCAACAACAACAACAACAACAACAATAAAAAAAATAATGCAGAAAGAAGAAATATACAGAGCAAATCAAAACAGAGTTAGTATAATAAAAGAAGAGAAATAGAAAGAAATAAAATGAGCGATTACTGAATTACGACAACGAAAGGTTGGCGATTGCAGAGGAGAAAGAGAAATTGAGAGCGATTTCAGCAAATTGAAGCGTGGACTAGTTTGATGAATGAAAACGAGGGAAATAGTTTGGCGAACAAATTGAATGTTGTAACGGTAAAATATGTTTAAGTGCGCGCTTCTGTTGTAATTGAACCGCCTTATTCCATAGTTAACTATGACCTGTCATTTGGTTGGCGCCACATTTAGGGTTCATTAATGGGTTAATCTAGAGGTGATAAAAATCAGGCCAGGTCGGACCTTAATATAATTTCGTGTTCAAACCTATAAAAAGGGCTTTTTCAGGTCGGGTTTGGGTTTTGAACTAAAATTGTGTTGTTAGGCTTGCCCAAACCTAACGTATTTTCGGGCCAGATCGGGCCGGGTCAATATTGACCACCTCTAGATTAATCCTATGTTTGCCAATGCAACGAAATGCATGTAATTTTTCTTTTATTTTTTTGTGAAGAAAGTGTATGTATTATTTTATTAATGGGTTGATCTAATCCTTTGTTTGCTTAAGATTTAAAAAAAAAAAAATGTCTAGTCAATAAAATTTAGGTTGCTGAATTTGATTCTGAAATCACGGTTCTAATAATAGTTAGACTTCGTTTGTTTTAATGAAAAATAACTTTTTGAAAAAATAATTCCTCAAGGGAAAGTACAATTGTAAAAATAATTTTCCTTTGTTTGTTTTCGTACAAGAAAAATTATATAGGATTGGAAACATAAAAGTGAAAGGGAGAATGCAAATGAAAGGAGAGGTATAAAATGTAAAGAGTAAGGAGGAAAATGTAGCATATCTTCCTTTTAGGAGAAAGACATTTGATATTCTTATGAGAACTATTTTTCACCATTGAAAAAATTACTTTCTATCAATTACAAACCAAACAATGGAAATTGAGAATTTTATTTTCTATGAAAATATTTTCCGTCAAAACAAACAGAGCTTTCGTTACTTTATCATTTACCTCTTTCAATGTAGTGTGTGTTTCAATTTTAGTACTTTGCAACAATTATGTAGTTCTTGACTTAAATGCATCCAATTCTATTGATTCCTTAGTTTTTGGATATCAAATTCTTTTAAAGACTTGTGAGGTAAAGGTGATAAAAATTTAACAGGAATAATCTCAGCTACATCTTGTTGCTTTTAAATAATTAAAACTACCTAGCATTAGAAAATAATTCTTACTATAAAATGAGCCTTCCATGTAATCGATTCCCGCTCCTTTTATCAACCAACTTCTCCTTGCAAAGCCATTCATTAACTCCCCGTGCACTACCATCACAACTCTTCCTTGTTGTTATAGTCATCCACACCACTTCCCCCCCCCCCAATACAATCACCGCCTTCAACACCTACCACTCCCCAACCTCATTTCCATTGCACCCCAAGTTCCCAACCACACTGTGAAGAACCACCACCTCTCCTCATATCCTATTCCGTTGTCCTTAACCAGTTCCAGCCGTACTTTCACAGCCCCTTCATCATAACATTTCTACAAGCCTCTTCCTCAGCCTATTTGCCTCCCCTTTAATTATCTACCTTATCAACTGAGCTGAACAGAAAAGGAGCATCAGATGGTAGACTATTGGCAAGTGTAGATGGGACAGAGCGTCTGGAGAAGTAAAGAGAAGTGGTTTGGTTTTTTTTTTTTTGGGTTGGTAATGACACTAATGAACATGAACCTCTCACAGGTCCATCAGTGGTGAGGTTGCAGGTGTAAGCGCACAACAACCATCATTGGTGAAAATAATTATCAAGCATGACTAGATACGTGAGAATCAACCATTACATACCTTTAATTAGAGATCAATAACCCTTGTTTAAAAAACTGTTTGTAAATTAAGGGGAACAATATTGCTCTTACTTTGAGTAGTACTCAAGTATTTATTAAGCACAAACACTTTGGAGCACCGCCACAGCCCACAGGCACAGTAGGAAATGCGAAGTAGAGAACAATGGACTAAGAAATCAGGAACAAGGGGCTAAACACATGAAGATACAAAGTTCAAATACATCCATTGCCAGTAAGATAAATCCAAGCTTTTGTGCAAGTATGCAATGAGACCAAAATTTTAACTATCATAGAAAAGGAAGGTACCAACTACATAGAAAGCTCAATACTAGCTCACAAAACAATAGTGATTTATGAATACGCAAAATACATTACTTGAGAAGCCATTAATATCAAAAGACAAAAGGAACTAAAGCGATACTAGAATATCCTAAGCATTGTGATATTGTTGATGCACAACTTCACATTTCGCTATCCATTCGCTTACTTCTCTGAGGAATTAGGTCCCCTCTTCTTGCCGAATCCAACAACTGAAATCAAAAGTATCATAATTAAAACGAGAACAAGATAATCAAGCACAATTCAGCTTATTGTGAAACCATTTTGACAACAAAAAGGCCAAAATGAATTAGAAAACTTGACAGCACAAGGTATGATACTCTTCTGTTTTTGCAGAATTGCAGGCAAAGGCCAAAGAAATGGTAACAAAAGAATGGCATTCTAAAATTATAATTAATGCAAGACCAAAAGACCCGAGTCTTAGAGCACAAAGCTGATAAAATTATACTCTATACTCGTATTAACAAAGACATTTAATTAACAACTAAAGAACTTTTTATTTTTTTGCATTCCTTCAACAACACATTCGAAACAACAAGTTGACAATGAGTTCTGTCGCTGAAAATACAATTTTAAACTACTAAAAACCTTTAGAATATAACACCTACAATAATTTCTAGCCCAGCACTAAACAAAAATCAATCTCCACTTAATAGAATACTTGACATAGCATCCCCAAAAGCTCCAAAATCCTAATGTGGTACAATACATGCTCCACACTCAAGGCAATTTGTTTCAAAGGGGTAGAACCATCAATTTAACAGTTGAAGTATAAACTTTGGTGAAAAGAAACAGAAAGAATGTAGCATTCTGAGGCCACAAACAACATGAGAAGAGTTTTAAATACAATGTCCTTGCTCTGCTAATTGGCAACTCCTAATCCAAAACAAATAACTCATAGCATTCCCCAAAAGCTCCCTACTCAAAGGCAATTTGTTTCAAGGGGATGAAACCAACAATTCAAAAGTTGAAACGAGTATGAACTTAGGTGAAAAGAAACAGAAAGAATGTAGCGTTTTGTTGGAGATCACAATCAACATGAGAAGAGTTTTAAATATAATGTCCTTGCTCGGCTAATTGGCAACTTCTAATCCAAAATAAAGAACGCATAGCATTCCCCAAAAGCTCCCTACTCAAAGGCAATTTGTTTCAAGGGGATGAAACCAACCATTCAAAAGTTGAAACGAGCATGAACTTAGGTGAAAAGAAACAGAAAGAATGTAGCGATTTGTTCGAGACCACAATCAACATGAGAAGAGTTTTAAATATAAATGCCCTTGCTCTGCTAATTGGCAATTTCTAATAACAAATAAAGAACACATACATTCCTTAAAACAACATCCTACAAACTTAAGAAGAAAAACCATCCTAAGGTTTAGTTGGCCAAATTCAAAGACTAGCAATTTCCATCCAACATCAAAAGGTATACATGAATTTTTCATATTCCAAATAACATTAAAGACCAGCTAAATTGTTAAAAATAGAAATGTACAAATTATAGCAAATTGTTCTACAAGAGCACATAGATCGAAATGCATGAATACAAGATTCAAAATTCAATGAATTATTCTTCAAATTAGCAGCAATTCACAACCCACAATCAACAAAAATATCCACTTCAAAGACTACAATCAAATTCAACAATCAAATTCATTCACTCCACTAATCAACATTTTCACAAACAAATCAATCTCAATCTTCTGACAATAATCACAGATTACAGAAATTCAACAAAAATAAAAAATAAAAAAAAAATGGAGGAGAGAGAAAAGGGTACCAGCAGTAACGAAACGGCGATTGTACTGCAAACGCTTGTGAGCGCGACCACGGGGCTTCTTCTTCTTATCTTGAGAAGCAACCTTGGGAGTTTGCCCTCTCACCTTACCGGCACGTGCCAATGATCCGTGAACCTTACCTGAAAAATCCAGTTATCATCAACAAATTATCCACCATTTTTAAGCTCAAAATCTGGAAAATTGATTTCAAAGAGAAGAAGAGAGATTTGAAGATTACCCATTGTTGTTGATTTTGTTGTTGTTCTGCTGCTGCTGCTGCGATTTTTCTCTCTCCTCGAGTTTGCCGGCTAGGGTTTCTAGGGAATGAGATTTGCAGTGATGAGAGGTTTTAAAGGAATGATAGAAAAATTATTAATTTTAAAAGTTTAATAAAATGGAGTTAGGTTTTTGGAAAATTTTAGGCCCATCAGCCCATGCTCGTTTTACTTGAAACTTGAAAGGCCCGATAAGAAAGGTCGGGTCGAGTTCAAGTCGATTAAACGAGTTAGAAAGGGTCTCATTAGCGTTACTCGTATTGTACATTTAGTAGTCTACTGGTCTTAGTAATCTTATGGCACACTTTCCTTTTACGAGTATTATGTAATAGGTTTATCTTATACATAGTATGATATACTCAGATTTTTTTACTCCTTAATTTAAAAAATTTAGGTTGCGTTAATTTTTTGTCATGTTTAATTAGTTGATTGAACAAATAGGAGCAAGCAAAGCGAAGTGACCCTATAAACAAATTCACTATAAGAATTACTATCCATAATAACTTTAAGTTACACATGTAGCAAGAATAGCTTGCATCGCATGTGCAATGTCTGAACCCTAAAATCTCAATCCAAACTAGTATTTCCCATAAGTGACGCGCTATAATAGTAGAGGAAACAACACCCAATGACACTAAGCTACACCTTAACACATGCATCAATAAGGCACACAAGCATAGGGAGGTTGCCTCATATGGGGCTTGTTGTGCCGGGTATCTAGAAAACTATTCATGTAACACATGCCTTTAGAATGGTTTAAATTATGCTCAAACCTTATTTAATAAATAAGTGCGTAATAAATAAAATCAATTTTCTCTATATTGTCTAATTCCAGTTTACAATTAATTGTTGCAATAGAAAAAGTGAGACAATGTGTTGAGAAGAAAAAAAAAATTGAAGATAGATAATATGATGGAGAAGAGTGGAAAAAAGGCTTAGAGAAGACTAGAAGTGAAAAATTGATTATGAAGAGGGATAGTTTGATTGAGAAGAGCGAAAAAAAAAGAAAAAAAAAAGGAAGCAATAAAATTAGGTCAAGTTAATTTTATTGATTTAGAAAAGAAATAGAAAGGTCTACCTAAAACCGAACTATTTTCGAACTGGTTGGACCCAAAATAATTTAATCCAAATTCGGTCTGGAATCAACCCGAAGTTAACTTTAAATTGATTGTACCTGATAATTTACGATCCAAACCCAACTTGGTATCGGCTCATTATTTATCTAAAACCAATAAAACCTAATAATTCAAGACCTAGAATCAATTTAACTCGAAACGAAATCTATCCGAAGCCATTTATACCCGAGAATACCTCATTTCACCTGACCCTCATTCAACCTGATCAAAACTACCCACGACCCCATTAAACTCGACCCAAAACTTATTAGTTAATTAGTTATCGACTTATTGATTATAGTTGAGACCAAAGGGGAATTTTAAATAAAAAGTGTAGTTAATGAGGTTTTTTTTTTTTTTTTTGAGGAATAATGAGGGTTATATTTAATTGTTAGTAGAAGAGAGAAATTCTAAAACACAAAGATAATTTTTATACTTGTATAGAAAATAGCTCAATAATGGGTTTTAAATTACATGATTGATTCAAATTAAGATATATTCAAAACTGAATTGATTTGAAGTAAGACCTAGATGAATCCAAAATTACCTGATCCAAAATCTATTAAATCCATTTTGACCAAAATAAACACAATTAAATCAGACTCCGGGCTTACCTAAACTCAATATGACACGACCCGAATTTGACTTGAACATAACCATACCTAGACCCACCTTTGACTCGAATATAATTAAGCTTGACCCGACTTGATTAGATTTGTTTAGATAAAATGTCCCGTCATTACCCAATCCAAATACCCCAATCCATTGTGGGTCAATCCAAAATCCATTTGGGTACCCAAATTGATACCTCTACTTATTAGTACATTCATTATGTGGCAAACTTAGCATTAAATAATTGACTTTTTTTTATTAAATTAAATAATTGACTTTTAACTTAGAAATCAAATATAAAAATTGTCCCCTAGTTCTTTAGCTACACTACATTTACGGGGCGTTTGGTTGGAGGGATAGGAATAAGAGGGATAAGGAAGGAGGATAAAGATAGGGAATTGATAGGTGGGACAAGGATAAATAATCCTTATCCCATGTTTGATAAGTGTGAGAAATAAATTAAGGATAAGTAGTAAAATTATAAAAAAAATACCCTTACTAACTTCTACCCTTTCTCTTAGTCTTTCAATTTCATTAAGGGGTCGTTTGGTTAGGGGTAATCAGGAAAGGGAATGGGAATCAACTGGCCCGGTTCCCTTTGTTGATGTTTGTTTAGCACTTTTATTCATTCCCTTTACCCTCCCCATTACCCCAAATCCTTCCAACTTCATTCCCCACCCCCCCATAGGTATTACCATTCTCATTCCCTACCCACCTTCACACCACCACATCACCACCGCCGCCCCTACCCAGACCACCGCCGCCCCTCCCCGACCACCGCCCTCCCCTCCCCCGAGCCTCGCCGACCTCCCCTCCCCTGAAAAAACCTCCCCTAGCCCCAATCTCCCTTGACCCCAAAAACCGCCGCCCAGCCCTCCCACCACCCTCGAAACCCTAGCCGCTAAGGTTTCGAGGGTTGTGGGAGGGCTGGGCGGCTGTTTTCGGGGTCAAGGGAGATCGGGGCTAGGGCTTTGCGGGGCTAGGGGAGGTTTTTTCGGGGGAGGGGAGGTCGTGGCTCATGCGGCTAGTGGCGACGAGGGGGAGAGCCGGCGAGGGGAGGGGGAGAGCCGGCGAGGGGCAGGGGATGGCCGACGAGGAGTTTGGTGGCTGAGAAAGATGAAATGTGTGGTGGTGTGGTGGTTGTGGTGGTGGTGGTGATGTGGTGGTGTAGTGGGGGCATTGATTCCCTTTGTTTTAAAAACAAACAACAAAGCAAAAAAAGGGTATTTTCATTCCATTCTTCTCCTTTCCCTTTGTTCATTCCATTCCGATTCCCTCGTGCGAACCAAACGGTCCCTAAGGGTAATTTGGTATTTTAGCCTATTTTTTTTATCCCTTCCCCTTATACCACCCCCCTTAGTTATAGAAATGGAGGGATAAGGGGGTGTTTTAATCCCTATCCTCAACCCCTTTTAATCCCCATCCCTCTAAACAAACATTACTTTTCTTCTATACTCATCATTTATCCTTATCCCTTCCTTTTTATCCCCCTAAACAAACACCCCCTTAGAGTTATGGACCATCGTATGCGACAAGAAGCATTTGGTGAATATGACAACTTTTGTATAGATTTGCCCACCCTCATGTTCACAACCCATCTTCCCCACATAAACCACCGCCATCGTCAATATCCGCAACCCTCCCACACACAACACCACAGAAGAACTGTAGGGGTTAACTTTTACGAGTAGTTGGACTGACTAAGAAGACAAATAAAAATTTATTTATTTAACCTAAAGACTAATCATAAAATATTGACGGCTTGTTTAGTAGCCGGTAATAAATAATGGTAATGAAAATAAATTTTAAGTGTAAATTAGGAAGGAAATAATCGACATTGTAATCCTCATGGTAATGCACTTTTATACTCAAGCATGTCGTTTCTTTATATTTTTTCGTTACCACCCATAATTAGTTGGAAGGAGATATTAGATAAGGATGCAAATTTCTAAAGAAAAATGGTCAATTTAGGGTGAGATAGCATTACCATGACACACGGGAGTACTAAATTTATTCTCATTACCATCATATAGCCACCTACTAAATGAGAAATAGAACAATAAGAGCACTCACATAGTCACATCAGTGAGCATTTTTTTTTGCTTATGAGCAAAAATGGTGAGCAAATTTGGTAGAAATGGTACTACATCAATGAGGAAAATGAAAAATGCTCATGAGCATTTCAGAATTTGCTCATAGGATGAGCAAATTTCATGATGAATAGTAATCTCGTGGACCCCAGCATTCATTCAAAATTGATGAGCATAAATGGTAGAAATATTACTATATTAATGAGTAAAATAAAATATGCTCATGAGCAATTCAATTATTTTTTGATCACTAGTGGGATAAAATTTTCTCACCAAAAATGCTTATTCTCACCAAAAATGCTTATGAGCAAATTGGTTGGGAAGAGAGAAAAAGTGGCTAGAGAGAGAATGAGCAAAAAAATTTTTGCTCTCTAATGTGAGTTCTCAATGGTTAAACATAAAATGATAAAATACTTGCCCAAAAGCAGACATTCACTTAGATTATGGGAAAAAGAAAGGAAAAAAAAAGACCACCTAGTAAAATTTGCATAAGAGCAAGATTAACCCTGAGTCTTAAGACTCAGGATGACGTCATCATTTTTAAAGTTTTAAGTCTTAAGACATGACTTTGTTTTTTTTAATGCATTTAAGAAGCTGAGTCTAAACAAAATCTGAAGTGGAGTCTTGAAAACTCAAGACTCAACTTAAGACTCAACTCTACACACTGTACACCGTGTTTTCCCTATACATCAAAACACAGTGTTTTGATAATAAAAAAATAAAAAAAAAAAACTTTATTTCTCAAATACATTAAAATCTATGTATATTTCTTCCAAAAAAAAATGTACGTTGTTTTTAATTTTTTTATATACAAAAATCATATTCTTTGTTTTATTTTATGTTAATTATGTACCTTGTATATAAAAAAAAAAAAAAAAAAGCAAAACGTAACAATCCTGATTTAATAATAATTATCAATTTAATTTGTCTTGTATTTTAATTATCCTTTTTTTTTTAAACTAATTATCCTATTTATTTGTTATTGTTTGTTGGTTTTTAATATTTATTACCTAGTCATAATACAATTACTCTATATATGTATTGTAAAAGCTAAATATCCTATTGATTTTTTTTTTTTGCTTGATCTATTTTGCTATTATTTTTCAACTATGACATCTAAATTGGGTTAGACATTTGTTACCCCAATGTGAATATTCATATCATATTAAAATTATAAATGTATTTCAAAAAAAAATATTGAAATATTTATGTTAAAAGACAAAAAAATAAAAAAAATTAATAAAAAAGTAAAAAAAATTAAAGAAATCTAAAATAAGTCTAAGGATTGAAGAGATAAATCTGATTGAGTCTTAAGGAGTTTTTAACATAATTGAAAATCAAAAAAATAATTAATTTTAATATAAAATCTGATGTGGCAATGGGTTAAAATCTTAAGATCAGACATGGTTAATCTTGCTCTAAATAATTTATATAAAACACAAATTTTAAATATGCAAAATTTAGATTACAATCAAATGCAACAAAGTATTAATTTTATTAAATTGATAATTTCGGGTACAATATCTAATTTGCTCTTATGATTCAATCTCCAATGACTTGTTTCACGAGATGACTTGATTCTTGATCGAGGGTCGTCAAACGTTTGATCAAGATCGAGAATTTTCCAATTTAAAATACTCCGTACTTGATATTACTCGAATATCCGTACTAGTAGTTAATTTTGGCGGTTGACATTAAGCAAGTTTTATTAATATTCTCTTCCGTTTAATTTTTTGACCCCTTTGAAGCTTGCTCACGGTTTAAGCTGCGTCGTTGGCTCCTGCACTCCTCCCTTTCTCCATTGAAGCGTACTCTGAGCTCTCCACCAAAGCGGCTCTTTAGCTTTCTCTCCTCCATTGAACCAGTTTTAAGGTAGGATTTATTTTAATCATCGAATATCAATTTATCAACTTAGGGTTTAATTTCACACTGTCCTTGATTTGATTTTATTTTATTTTCATTACATTCAATTTTAAAATCTTCTAAGATGGATTATTGAACTAGTAGTTATAATTGATCCAGTTATGAAGGATTATAACGAATGATTTTGTTGCTATTATTCTTAAGCAAGAAGAATCCGAGCTTAATTTGATTTTTGAGTCAAATTTGGTAGCAATTTGCAAATGTATTGCAGGGTGTTGTTTATAACTCTTTATATTAGTACAGAACTATGAAAATGAACCTTTATACTCGGGCCGAGGACAGGCATTGATAAGCCAAGACCTCCATTGTTATGGGGTTTTAGTGATGTGTTAAAATGATTGCTATATTGATAATGTGATATTAACTATGAAAATGAATCCTTTTTCCTGGGGCCGAGGGCGGCCAATGATCAGCCAAGACCTCCATTGTTATGGGGTTTTAGTGATGTGTTAAAATGATTGCTATATTGGTAATGTGATATTAACTATGAAAATGAATCCTTTTTCCTGGGGCCGAGGGCGGCCAATGATCAGCCTAGACCTCCATTGTAATGGGGTTTTAGTGATGTGTTAAAATGATTGTTAAATTGGTAATGTGATATTAACTATGAAAATGAATCCTTTTTTCTGGGGCCGAGGGCGGCCATTGATCAGCCAAGACCTCCGTTGTAATGCGGTTTTCCTATTTAAGTGATGTGTTAAAATGATTGTACATAAATTGGTAATGTGATATTATTTCATTTGATATCGTGTTATATTGATTATTAACATAAAAGCCTATCTAAATTTTCAGTTTTCCGAGCTTTCGAGTGAAGAATGGGTAAAGCTTCAAGGGACAAGAGGGTTTGTACATTTCTCTTTGGTCTTTTTTTTCCCATGGAATAGGAATGAATTCAGGTGCTCTTCATTTGGTTTTTGTTTTCGTTGATGGTAGTTGTTTTAATCTTGCAGGATATTTACTACAGAAAAGCAAAAGAAGAAGGATGGCGGGCTCGAAGTGCCTTTAAGCTGCTTCAAATTGATGAGGAATTCAATATTTTTGAAGGTACCCTTACTCGATTATGTATTCCATATAATGTATCTCTATTAGCGTATCTGCTTTCATTTGGCTGTAAAAAATTTGTTTTGGAATCTGCAGGGGTGAAGAGGGTGGTGGATCTTTGTGCAGCTCCTGGTAGCTGGAGTCAGGTTATATTTTGTTGCTCGACTTCTGTTACTCGAATCTATTTTACTTCACTTTGTCTATCAGTCTATGTTAGTAATCTTAAGGTGATGCAAATATAAAATAAATAGTGCAAGGATATCCTAGCTTAGAATGCATTTGATTTTTGTCCTCTCTAACATAGAGTGTGCAAAAAACTTATTTGAACATGGCCAAATTTTATGGCATCGTGGCTGATATTAATTTAAAATTCCTAATATATTCACTGGCATAGAGCTGAAAGTAATGGCAGGCTCCTCTGTGTATTTTAACTTAAACTTGTTTATTGCACTTCTAATATTCGGAAACATGTACGTTTTACCTTATTGACTCTTTAATGTTAAGGCCTACAGATTTAAACTATTCAAGTCTGATAAAAATTTGTGTCAATCCTGTGAAAATTTACATACTTAAGGTCTTATTGTTTGGATTCTGCTATGCAGGTTTTGAGTCGGAAGTTGTATCTCCCAGCAAAGCTATCACCTGATTCTAGGTGTGTTTCCTTATCTAAATTTGTGTTTTCTTTAGGGCACATATATATGGTTGTTGCAACTATCAATTGTTTGACTGGGGAACTGAAGAGTCTTATGACCCTTTATTATTTAAATACTAATTGACTCTTAGACCTTAGTGTCTCTTACACAAATGGGTGAGTCTACATCAAATCCTATCCATGGCTGCTTTTGATTAGCTTCTTCATCTTTGTCAAAGAAAGCAATCATAATTGGAGCTTACACTTTTGACTACTCTTCTTTTTGTTACCATATCTCATGTAGTTCATGATATGTGGCTCATTTTGCTGTTCCTTCATGTGAATCATGCCTCACATATCTGTCAGTGAGATTTGGAGTGGAAGGGAATTGCATATTGCTGCATCCAATACTAATTGAAAACCTTTTGGCTTAAACATGTAATGATGATCTTCACATGTAAGTTACACGGTTTGCGTCATAGATGAAACTAGTAATTTGAAATAAAACGCCACAAGTAATGATAAATGTCTTGTTGATAAAGTTGGTGACTTGGGATTCAGGTTTTCCTTCATTTTCAAATCTATGCTTTTAAATACTTTTTACTAAAATGCATGGGTAGTGCAATTTGGTTTGTCATTAAATATTGTGCATAGGGCTTTAATGTAAAGAATCCAGGTAGAATTGAACTTCCACATTTAGGGTCTGGATATTTCAAATTCAACCATGAGTTTGATTTACACAATTTTTTATATTTTTCTATATGTAATAATGGTAATTATAGTTATCTAGCAGATTGCACACTCTACCAGAGTATTATCTACTACTAGCCTTACGGTTTGACCAAGGGGGATTCTGAGAATTTTGAGAATGGTCTTGGCCATCCATGCCCAGACTAAAGGTGGCTTTTTTTTAATCCTTTGCCAATTAAGGACCAAATATAGGGTGTACAGAAAATGAACCTCCAAATAATCTGTTGAACTGGTATGATGTCAGAGTTAACTGAAATTACCTAAGAGATTTCTCGTACCTTTACTAAAGATCTTTCCCCTCTAGATTAAAGCCTCGTACATTTAACAGCTTGAGAAAGGTGGATGCTTACTTCAGTTGTAAAAATATTGCAATGTGTGATTTATTCATTTTCTTGGACTCCAGATTATAATGACACTCATGTTTTCAATAATTCTTCTACAGGGAATCCAACCCTCCTCTTATAGTGGCTGTTGATTTGCAACCAATGGCTCCTATAGAAGGAGTGATTCAAGTGCAAGGTGACATAACGAATGCTAGAACAGCTGAAGTGGTAAGGTTATTTTGCTCTTGGGTTGATGTTCTTTTACACATGATGTTAATTTAAAATGAAGTAAGAATTGCAGTCCTTTGATGTTATATCTTATATTAATGTGCTCTATCTGGGTATCTTGTGAAAGATCATGTTTATGAAGCCAGTCTCCAATTTTCTTCAGTCAGGTTATGTATGTTTTAATGTTGTGTTGCCCATGAAGTTTTGAGCTTGAAGATTATGATAATATTTGGGTTGTGGCTACTCTAGAAGTTGACAAGTGCTTATGGGAATTTACTCCATTCGTTTTTCTATAAGTTGCACTTTTAATAAGTATAATCATCAGTTATATATCTGGTTATGTGCTGAATTGTGACTGGAAAAGTTCCATGCATGCTTCTCATTCCTTTGCATTGATAAATAATTGATTTTGGTAGTCAAGCTTGCATATGTTATATGTTAATGATAGCTATTTGGTTTCAAAAGGAAGTCACCCTCTGAATGGCTGTACATAGAGGTAAAGTTCAGGAGTCAATGGCCTGATTATAGGTTTAGATATGCTGGCTTGATATGTATTTGTTTTATTTTTCCTTGTTTTGATAGTATTTATCAATCATTGCTGTGCAATGGCACCAAAATAGCCATTGACCAACCAGTTTCTCCTTCATGCATCCTTTCGACAATTGTTTATGATATTATGGGTATCAATAAAAGTTTGCTGTCAATACATTGTTTGAATTGTTGGTTGGTCATCTTTCAGCTAACCAATCCTCTATTATATGCCAGGTCATTCGACATTTTGATGGGTGTAAGGCTGACTTGGTTGTTTGTGATGGTGCACCCGATGGTTAGCTTATTTAACTACTCATTTGCTATTAAAGCTATATAAATCGATTTTAATAGCCTAGTTTAAATTCATATTCTGTATAAAAATAAAATGATTTTGTAATTACTGCTACTGGATTTTTGATTTTGATGTATGTAGTCTTTGTGATGCACAGTTACCGGACTTCATGACATGGATGAGTTTGTTCAATCTCAGCTCATACTAGCGGTAAGTAGTTTTCTTACCAACAGCTGTTGCATTGTCAAAGATAATTAGTTAGTGACTTGCTGGTGTCGATGACTAGATGTGAATTCTTCAGCCAGCTTTATTTTGAATAGACTGCTTATTCACCAATATTCACTGTGTGGTAAGAATGGTTGTGAATCTTGTGATTGCAATGGCTTGTTTTGTATGTTCCTTATTTTTCCTTTTTTTTTTTTTTTTTTTTTTTTTTGCCTTTTAATCTAAAGAGGGAAAAAAGGTCAAGCTTCTTAGCAAGTCTGTTGATTCTAAACTGCATTGTTCTCTAATTAAGGTCATGACTGATTTAAATGTTCTAAATACAGCATTGATTAACCTCAAATCTTTCTGACTTATAGAATACTCTGCATGTAAATCACAGAATCAAGAGAAACTTCCTGTAGTCTGTCTATTAAGGAGCCTTAGCATTTCTCCTTCAAGTTTTATTTTAAAAAATATGATAAAATAGTATTTATGCTATATGCATTTAGCTTTATGTTAATCATCAGAGAACTGATCAACGCAATTTTAATTTATCTTTTCTTCATACTGACCTTATTTTAAATTAATCTGATATCAAATAGATCAATAGCCCAGAGGATGTTGTTCTGCTTACATGTATGTTCTTGTTGTTCTATTCATAGCATTGCTATCCAACTTGGGCTCGTGGAGAAGCATTTGTATTAGCACAGCTTATCTTTTATTCTATTATTGCTCCACAGGGAATGTCGATTAAGCACCTTAGGGTCTCATGACTCTCATCTATATGTTTAATCATTATTCATTAATATAGCTTTTCAAAGTAAAATAAAAAGTCTGCTAAATGTTATGTCAATTGTTTGTCAGCTTTGAGCTTACTAAAAAAAGCTGAAGCTTCACAAAGTATTATATCAATCAATCAATCAATCAAAGCCTAATCCCATAAGCGGTGTCAGCTACATGAACCAAATTTGATTATTCTGTGTAATCATCGATAAATATCCTCGTCCTCCATCCCTTACGATCCAATGCCTCTTCCTCATGCAAATCCATATACTTCATATCCTTCCTAACTCCTTCCAACCAAGTCATTTTCGGTTTCCCTGTCCCTCGTTTAACCCCTCCATGATCCCACTCCTCCACTCTTTTGTACCGGTGCACCCTCTGGTCTCCGTCTTACATTCCCAAACCAACTCAGACGATTCTCCCTTTGTTTGCAATGCCTGCCACACCTACCTCTTTCACAAAGTTTCATAGATACATATTATTTCTCTTAAGGGATATATGGGTGATAATTTTCATTTTTGCTTCAGAATGTTTGGGTGGAAATGGGGCATGTGTTACAGATTTGCATCCTTTTGGTGTATTTTGTTTGTGTTAGTTCTTTTGGATGTGGGAATTGACTATAATTGATAATTTGCTTTTAGGGTTTGACAATTGTCACTCACATATTGAGGAAAGGAGGAAAATTCATTGCAAAGATATTCCGTGGCAAAGACACGAGTCTCCTATATTGCCAGGTGAGAACTTAAAAGAAATTATTTTAAGTGTTTATTAAAGTGTCAAGGGTTTTGAAGCACGTCTTTTAAGTTTCAAATTAGCTATCATTTTACTTCAGATGCCAGAGGATTTTTTGTACCATTACTATGGTTGTGTATGCATATATGTTGATACTTAAAATCGGCTAAATCTTGGTGACTTCATGTCTAACATATGTGTTATTTCTGTCTTCTGAGTTTTAATAAAGAGGGGTTGTCAAAGTCCAGTGGTTTATCAACTGTTACTGGTTGCAGCTTACCCAACTAATTTGAGCCTCTTAAGCTTATAGAATCCATCATTAGCCAGGCTTTACTGCTTTTGACTTCTAGCCTCCATGAGTACTTTAGGAGACTAGAGCCCACCTTGAGCTTTTCACTCAGTTTTTACAATTCTGTTCCTTTGTAATTTTCACATAATATCTCATGCTATCTGTCCTTAAAACCATTATTTGAACCACAACCATTCATTGAATCACGTAGTTTGCGACAGAGATTAATTACTTTTTAAGCTGATAGAGTAATAGGATGGAATGGGGTGGGATGAGAGAATATCTCAGTGATACTATCTTGTTTTTGTGACATAAGGTAGTTCTTTATATTATTCTTGTTTTCATTTGCTGCAATATTGTCCACAAGATTCTGTTGATAAATTAGTCACTTTTATTCTTAACTTTCTCTATCATTTTACGGAGTAATTGTTAGATAGTTTCTTGGGATCTCTGATCCTAATAATTTGTGCCTTCGCGTATAAAAATGCAATAATCGAAAATGCACCCTCTGTTCCTAGTTTCTTACATGTTCTATATGCTTTCTCCATTAGTTTGTTTCTAATGTTCTTTACAGTGCTACTGTATTCTGTTTTTGGCAAAGAGTTTTACCATCATACCTTCAATTAGTCGACCACTGAATTTGTTCCTTAAAGTTCGTTACAGTACAATAGTTCAACAATGACTGTGGCACAATATGCTCGCCTAATGCTTTTAGTGAGAATTGTGGTCTGACCTCTAAATTTTTCTTTCCTTTTGTTTCTGTGCTGCAGCTGAAACTTTTTTTCCCAAAAGTGACATTTGCAAAACCAAAAAGCAGCCGTAATTCAAGTATTGGTAAGGAAATTTATCTGATTCATTTTTAGTTTATTTTATCATTCATGTCATTGTAGATTTTCCTTCCTCTTTGGTATTGCATATAATCTTATATACACTAAGGGCCTTAAGCATTTGACTATCATACCCATCCTTGTAATCAAGGATTAATTCAAATTTGTTGAAAAATTTAGACGTGATTACCTGTTTTGCTGACATCATTTTAACCAATCCATTAAACCAGCATTCAAAATACTACTGTGTTTCCAGCTTCTTCACTTGTCATATACATGAATGTTTGTAATAGTAAGTGGTGGGCATAGGAACAGTTTAGATGTTGGACTTTTCTGGATGTTATTAGCATTGACAGATGATGGCGTCTATAGTTTATATTTATAATTGAATAAAAAGGGTTATGTTTTATCAGGATATATATTCTGGCAATTTCACACATTTACCTAGATTTGATGCTTTGTTCCCTTTTGTATAGAGAGTATTCAAATTATAAAACTTCCTCTGTTCTTTTTTAATTGTAACATAGGAGTTTTCACGCTTGCCAATGCACATCATTAATATCTATTAATTATACTTAAGTAACATTATAAAAAGATAATATTGTAAAAGTATATAACGAGACGAATCTAACAAGACCTCACTTGACTATGTTTGTTGTAATGTATAAATCACAAAAGACGGTCAAAGGAGTGTGCATAATATAAATTTTCTGAAGTTGCGATTAAAAAAGAATGAAGTATTGCGTGACATGATCTTGACTTTTTCTGCTGTATAAATCACAAAAGACGTCAAAGGAGTGTGTGCATAATATAAATTTTCTGAAGTTGCGATTAAAAAAGGATGAAGTATTGCATGACATGATCTTGACTTTTTCTGCATAAAAGTACCTTAGATTTTCTGGTGCTTAAGATATCAATAAACTAACTATCCACAAATAATTGTTTTGCAGAGGCATTTGCAGTTTGTGAGGATTACTCTCCTCCAGAAGGTTTTAGTGAGAAGGATTTATATCGTCTTCTGAAGGAGGTTGGCAGTCCCTCAGGAGCAGATAATCTAGGTAAGCAGTTCTTGTATCACCTGATCTTCGTGAACACATATATGCTTAGATAAAGCTACTCTCTGATATTGATAACTTTATTGCCAACTGATATGTCCAAGGTATGTTGAACGATGGTGGGATATGCCTTTTGTATGTACCTTCTCTGCTCATTGTTTATCCAACATACAGAATTTTACCCTATTCAAACACTTATTTGATCGTCTTTTGTTTTTTATATGCTAGGAAAAATAGTCACGAGGGATTTTATTAAGTCAGTCTTGATATCTACTTTTTATTAAAAGATAATTATAGATTATCATATGATATTATATATGCATTGACAAGCGTGAAACTCCGAACTTGTAATTAAAAAAGGATAGAGGAAGTATATGTTTTAGGACTTATCACATTCATTGGTTCATTTGCTTTTTCATCAATTTGCACAGAATCCTATTTGTTACTCAGGTTATCCGCTAATCACTATACAGTTGTACAATAGTTGAATATTATAAGCAACTTAAACAATTTGGCTACTCTGTCCAAGCAGGCAAGCATGCATATTAGTCAGCTAATAATGAGGGACCAATTCACATCATTATTAGCTAACAATAATTGTAGAAGCCTAATACTCTGTTGCCCTTTTATGAGCTTTTAATTGATAGATGAACTCGCACCTGTTTGCTTCTTATCTTATTGCTATGAACTGCTGCAGTGGGTTATTTAACATGCCCAACAAAGGGTAATACTTTTCTCTATTGACTTTTGGAGATCTTACTGGATAGCCCGAGCCCGCTTAGTTAGGCCCTGTCACATCCCAAACCAAATTTTCCTGGTCAGGTCCAGCTTACAAGTGGGTTGTTTTCAAACGGCACCGATCCTGTGGCCCAACCAAGATTTGAAGTGAATTTTCAATCTTGTGCCCTCCCTTTGGCCATCTCTATTCCTGGGTATGACTTGAATCAATTATATCTACTTCTAAAACATAATTATTCGATCTTTGAGATGAACTTACGAGCAGACATATGAGCAACTTGCCTTGATTGCTGATAGTGGCTAACCGCGACCATCACTCTCTTCCCGAAACCTTAATCCATTAGTCTAATTCTCTTATTCAAAGCTGTTAACTTCACTGAAATCTTCATCATGACCACCTACTTATCTGTACATGATTAGATTCCTGACATTATCCGTCAATTTCGGCTCTTCTGATTAGTCATTACCATGTTTGTATACCCCCTTTCAGTGCCATATCATAACATCCCTTCAGAAATATTATTGCCATCTCTTAGCTGTGTATCCTTGACATGGCGAAGTCAAGTCTGCTACTTGATATAGACAATATAACTAATAGTTTTGATATATTAGAAAATTTGTTGGTCCACCAGTTGTTGGAGTGTACAAAAGGTTATTTAATAACAAGGTGCCCACACTCCGTACCTATCTTGCCTCCAACAAGAGCTCTTTTATCCAATAATAGTCCTTTAAAAACATAGTAGACCCATTTTCTATCCCTGTTTAATTTTGAAGATGAGAAAAACAATCTACTTCTGGAATTCTTATCCATTTTCCTAATAGTAAGATACTGCCATATCCTGTTATCCATACTGCACTACACATCTTGACCGTGACATGCAGATGTAGAAACCTTTGTAATCATGATGTAAAAGTAAAAGAAGAATTCTGGAGACACGCTTTGTGTAAGAGTCATCTTATGGACATCTTTCTTATCTTCAATTTATTTGCAGACTCATCATCAATCTTATAAGTGTTTTTTATGTTTAACTCGTGTGTATTATTAGGGCCTTTCTGATATAATTGCTGGTATTCGGATTTGAAATTTGTCAAGAATAGACACTACTAGCCATTCTAGGTGCCAATTATTCACTAATACTCCTGTCTAATTTTTGTATGTTTTTATAAATATATGAACAAGCTTATGCTTACGAGTTACGAGAATGTAATTGGGCAATTCACGGGTTTTTTTGACATGGTAAGCTGCTTGTCTCTGAGAGTCTGACTATAGCCAAGTGCACAACTAGTTTAATACCCACAACAGCTTGTTTCCGTGCTCTTATCTTTATCCTGTGATCATAAGATTGGGAGCGCATTACCAACCGCTCTTTCTCATTGATAACATAGGGGCAATCTACAAATCTACAAGCATTTGCTGCTTTCCTTTTTTAATGAAACGATTGTGTATCTTTTATGTCTTGTTACAACAGATTGCAGCAGTGCTTGGTTAGAAGGGCCAAATAAGGTATATATTCCATTTCTGGCTTGCGGAGATCTAAGCGGGTACGACTCGGATCGGTCATACCCATTACCTCAAGTTGCTGAAGGGACTTACAAGAGTTTAGATCCTGTACAACCTCCAATTGCCCCACCTTATAAAAGGGCTCTAGAGCTCAAGAAAGCTGCTAATCAAGGAGTTCGTGAACTTGAAAACCTCTCCATTGATTCTTCTTAAAATTGCACAATTACATTTGCATTTATGTTCACTATTTTGGTTGAGGATCAGTATCTTAAAAATTGGCTTCTTGATCACATTGTTATGGACCTATTTGTCGATCATTATTTTGTGCACTCAAGATCATAATGTGCATCATCTTTCCGATTAATGTTATTTTTAATCGTACATGCATCTACACTTTCAAGTTACTGTATTTATATAAATTCTGTTTTGAAGTGGTTTTTCTTAGGGGTGAGCATGGGACCACCCGTACCATTAGTACTAACGGTTCGGGTACCCGATAACCAATATCACTAAAAGTGATATCCATAACCCGAACCGATAAGTTCGGGTACCCGGACTTCGAGTACCCGGATTTTTGGGACGGTTATCAGGTACCCAATAAAGTATCCAATAGTGATAATTAAACTTAAAAAATTAGTTATTATTAGGGATGGCAATGGGGCGGGTCGGATGCGGATGATGGTACCTCCATATCCATATCCACCTAAAAATCTTATACCCATCTCCGCCCCACCACCCGTGGCGGGTACAATATCCACATCCATACCCGCCCCACCAGGTACAAGATAGGATCCATCTTCGGCCCATCACCCACCTCATACCCGCCCCAAAATCATCCCAAACCCATTGCCATGATGCTCCATTGTATCACATTATTGACAATTATATTAAATTAGGTTAAGAAAATTGGGACTTTCATTATTCAAGCTTATTGGGTCTTAGAGGGTTTCAAGTTTTATAAATTCTAAATTTTTCTAAAAGAAATATGGTGCCGGTATAAGATGGGTACGGAGCGGATATGGGGCGGGTCTACTCTAAAATCCATACCCACCCCATCACCCATGGCGGGTACACATTTTATACCCATCCCTGCCCCATCACCCGCCAAACCTCCTCCATCCCCGCCCCACTTGGGCGGGGATGGGGTGGGACTCCCATTTAACCCGACCCACTGCCATCCCTAGTTATTATGATATTTTTTAACACTAATTAAAAACAATACCACATGATCTTGACCAAATTATTAATAACATTACTAATTATTGATATTATATAGTGATTATGAAGTAATGTAAGAGTTTAAATATTGAAAAGATAGATTTAAGTAGGAAAAAAAATAAAATAATTGCTTATCGGAACGGAACGGGTAACCGTTAATTTTAAAATGATACCCAAAAACCATACCCGATAACAAATTATCGGAACAGGTGTACGAACCGTTATGGTTATCGGATCGGGTACCCTAATTTTTGAAACGGTAACGGAACGGGTTTTCGATTTTTCGGGTAGTTTTGCTCAGCCCTAGTTTTTCTTTTATAAATAAACAACATTTAGTTTTCAACCAATCCATCATTATAACAATAGAAATATGACGTAGACTTTCCCATCTTAACCTCACCCGTGAGAAGTGTCATTGGAGAATGAAGATATAAAGACTATAAATGACGAAAGAAATACTCATAAAGTATATAGTCTTGTGCTTGTATATTGAATGGTATAATGTTCCCATCATATCTAAAAGCTCTTTAAGAATATTGAAATCATTTTAATACGTACGTAGAAATGTAAAATTTTTGTATTCATAATCATATTCGAAACAAGAATAACATTTAGAGTCATAAAGAGTACACAATAATACAATGTACCCTACTTCAACTTCTAACTCCAAGGATTAAAATTAAAGACAATAAAACACAATTATCTTTCTCAACTGTTCACCATTAATTAGTTTAAAGACAATAATACACAAAATCCCTTTCCTAAACTGTTAACCACTAATTACATCAAAATACATTAATCAAAGGCGGTGCATTGAGCCCAGTAGTAGGCCCAATAGAAGTAATTTAAAAGTCTTTCTACTACTGTAATCCTTTTAACCATGTTTCCCATATGCTTTGGTGGGTCTTCAACTTGATATATATTCAAGGTTTTTTTTTTTTTTTAATACGTTTCATATTAATTCCAAATGTATACTAAGGCCCTATTCTTTTCCGCTATTGTGATATGCTATGTTCGGTTAAGCCCTATTCTACTCTGCACTCTGCTGATATTTGTTTTGCTCTACTGAAATATTTTCTGCTCGTTGAAATATGCTCTGCTCTGCTCAAAGTTTCACTCCTCTCCTGGCTCCTGCTTTGATACCTCACTTTTCACTTACATTATTGTATATCGTTTCTCATGTCTTCTTTGTTTCTCACGTAGTCAAGTTGTTAAGCTTGCCCAAACCGTCATTGTTTGCCATTGCCTTTGCCCATGTATCACTTTATTATTGAACCTTAATACTTTTTTCTCACGAGTTTAATCTCACACTTCGTAATTTTATACAGTTTATTTATGTACTCCTTTTAAACATGTTTTGCGACTTTATTCATGTGTAATTTTTTTAATTGATCTTAATATATATCAGCATGTAAACTTATTTTATACTTCCTCCTTTTTTTTTATATATATTTGCAACAGTTTGACTTTTACACTTTTCATGTGTTTCACTTTGCCTACCTTTAATGATTCAAACTTATGTAAAAATATAGTTATGTGAAATCATTGTTAGATTCGTATCGATATTTACAATTTTAATATCAAATGTTTATAATTTTTACATACCGGTAATTAAAGATAGTGTTTTTCTAAGCTATGCCCCCCAAGTTCTTCAGTTTCTAAGTTGTACCTATGCTTTTTCAAAGTTATAAGTTGTGTCCTTCACCTCACAATGTTTTATCAATAATACCGTTTAACATCCATATCTATTAACGAAAGTTAAGTTATTTTATCAACAATGGTATCGTGGCGTTATTAATTTGACACATGTCCCGTTCTAATAGGTTTAACACTTTAAAAAAAAATTAAAAATCAGAAAATAAAATAAAATAAAAATAAAAAGTTATTATTAACGTTAAAGGTTATTGTTAATAAAAATTAGTGAGGTTGAGGGCACAAGTTAGACGTCTGAAAAAACATGGGCACAGTTTAGAAACCGAAGAACTTTGGGGGCATAACTTAGAAAAACCCTTAAAGATATAAACAATTGAAAACATGTATCGATTAGCATGAAAAGAAAAATGTTTCAACTATTAAAAAAATGTCCCAAGTAATAATTAAGGACTTGTCACGATTGTATTATAACATACTTTTTTAATAGACTTGTTTCACAATTTATAAAATATTCAAATCATCAAATGTCATCTTTTTCACAAAAAAATACTACGGAGTACGAAGTATAATAGTACTTGAATTCAGATGACTTAGATAAAAATAATTACTTTCGCTTAAGGCCTGTGCATTTCAACTTAATTTCAACTTAGTTTTCAGTTCAGTTTAGCTTCTAATTTTCTTTTCTAATAAAATATTCATTTCAACTATATTTAGTTCACTTCAGTTCAGTTCAACTCAGCTCTAATAAGTTCAATTTAATTCACTTCAGCTCAGCTCAGCTCATCTGAGTTCAGTAAATATGAACAGACAACAGACCCTTAATTAAAGTATTTGAAAATACTTTTTGAGACACAATATGAAGAGACACAATATGAAGAGACATAATTACAAACTTCCTTAAATAACTGATGGTGGGTAACCACTTAGCTGGAAATGGACTTTAGACCAAGAATTAAACTTGGAATTTAGTTATTTAGTTATTTATTTTTTATAAGATGGTTTACTATAATAGAGAATTTAGATAGTGTAAAGTTGAAATGATAACCAAATCCCTCAAGTGAAGGCTGACATTTATTTGTCACTAAAAGATGCTCTTAACCAATTTTTAATTCTAATGGCATAAATCTCAAGAGAATCACTGTTATTATATTGAGAATCACAATTATCATATTATTTCCCGCCGTAAATAATTTCATCTCATCTTATCCTAGGTTAGGGGGAGAGAAAAATTGATAAGCAATGTCATCATCAGTCTTCATTCTTCCTATTTCAGCAAAACCGTGAGCAATCCTGTTAGCTTGGTGCTTGACGTGCAAAATGGTAACACTCCAATCCCTTTGCAGAAGCTTGAGAACATCATTGATAATGTTAGACAAGGCATGATCAATGTAATATATTGGGTTTTCAATCATATATTTCAGAGCTTGAGCATCAGTTTCGAGCTCAAGGAAACGGATTCCTCTAGCCCAGCAGATAGTAAGACCCTCCTTTATGGCAAGGAGTTCAGCAGCTCTATTTTGTTTCTATATCACAATATTAACATAGTTCACTCGGATTAATATTGGAAATTTTATTAGGCTACCTTCAACATTTAAAAATTCCATATGGTGTCCGGCTAAACCTTTTCTCATATGTAGAGGTGATCGATTTTTGAAGTAAACTATTATGTTCACGCGAGTCCAAATCTAAATCGGATATTTTTCAGGTCGGTTTCATATTTGAACGGGTTGGACATGCTTTTGACACTTCTACTCATATGCGGTGACATCCAAGTTTCTAATAATTCACATAATGGTTATATTAGCTAGTTTGGTGGCTAACCAAGCATAATAAACTAACTTATCCCTAGCTAATCACAAATCTAGCTGATTTTGCACGTAAACCATGATTTTTATGGCGCTTTTTCCAAATTTTGACCTCAATTTAATCCATACGAGCTAAATTGACCCCAAAATCTTAAATGAACCATTTTATCGGGCTTAAAAATTAAAAAACGTAAAATGAATCATTTATTTTACATAAAGTGAGGTATTTCTAGTTGTTTAGTTAAATTTGACCCCCTTAAGAATTAAAATGACCCTCAAAACCTTAGTTGAACAATAATCCTACTTTCGTTATAATTAATGGCTAAATTTACGTGCCCAAAAATTAGTTTGATTTGTGTGCTGAGAAATTTGATCAATTTTGGGGTAATTTTAGCTCTTAAGACTCAAATTAGTTCTTATCAATAGGTGCTTGTAAGTATCTCAGCACATGTTATGAAATGTTTTAAGCTTCCTCAAGGCATTGCCAACAAGATTGATTCCCTCATTGTGAGATTTTGGTGGTTCAACAAGGGCTGTAAAGGTATGCACTGGGTAAGTAGGGATATTATCCAAACCCCTAAAAGCATGGGGGGTTTGGGGATTAGAGGTACTTCCGCCCTCAATGATGCACTCCTTTTCAAGCAATCAACTAGGTTGCATCTCAATCCTCAACTTTTGCTCTCAAGAGTACATGGAGGTTTTCAATCTTGT